AGGTTGACTCCGCAATGGAAGAAGAAACAAAAATAGAACATGTTATTTGAGGACTGAAAAAAGAGTACTCATTCGCGCTCTACCTGAACCCTCCTAAAACTACCGATGAACTTCTCGTCGTGTGCAAGAAAATGGATTCTTTTGAAAAGAAGTATCAGGAACGTGTGGAGAAATCCAGAAACCTATATAACGGTCCACGCTATTCTAGACCCCAACTACAATCGAGGAACGTGCCGCCGACTGCCACGCGAAACTATCAGACCACTTCCAGGCCCCAAGCCCCTGTTTACAATAATTACAAGAATGACTCCCCTCCTACTCCCAGGCAGTATCGAAACAACTTTCCCCAGCCCTCTACCCCTAGACGTCCTTATAATCCAAACTTTGTGCCGAAACCAAACCTTCAGAGAAACACCTACAATAAAAGCCAAGAAGTGAACAAAAATAGGACGGAAGATGGAAGACCAATCTGCTTTAAGTGTAACAAGCCAGGGCACGTGGCCCGTTTTTGTAGGGTTAAGTTTATAAGAATCCTAGAAGAGGATCCAACAGCTACCCAAGAGAAGGTCGAAGAGAAATGCCAAATGAATGGAATATCAGATAAATCGGGACCTCGGCTTTATGCTGATGTATGTCATAGCCCACAGACAAATATTCCTACCCGGAATAGATATTCCGTGTTGGAAGATTTAAACTAAGCGTCGCGCCTGAATCTGTCAATCAAAGCAAGTCGACCATAAATGGAATCAAGAAGTTGGACCCTAAATACAAATTAAAAATTCATGTGGACAAGATAGGGACTTTTGAAGCTTTGGTTGATACAGGCGCTGACCTCTCAGTGGTCGACCTCAGAACGGCCTTCGATACAGGCCATGGTATAAGTAATCTCGCAAAAACTTGTGCAGGACCCGATGGAAAAAAATTAGACATGGTAGGAAGTATATTTTTAAATATAAAAATTGATGACGAAACATTAACACACAAATTTGTGATATTGAAAACGCATTTACGGACATTAATTCTTGGAAGAGATTTCCTTAAGAAAATGAACGCGAAAATAGATTGTATATAAGCAAGAAACTATAAAATACGATTTGACGAATAATCATGACGAAAGCAAATTTGAAATGTTGAAAATAAAGAGTGCCAAGGACTCCATTGTACCGGAATGTTCTATTAAACTGATCAAGGCATTGGTAGAAACAGAGGATGGGGAATATATTATCGAGGAGAGCAGCAAAATGTTTCAAACAAATGGACTTCGTCTAGCAAGAAGCTTGATCAATGTTATAAATAGGGAAACACATATCTGGATAACTAATCCGTATCCTCGACCGTTAAAAATAATGAAAAACCAAACATTGGCTTTTGGAAGTAGTCCAGCGAAAATAAATGTGAGTCGAGAAAGAGAGGTAGAAGAGAACGAAGAACCTAGATTCCAAGTAAACGAAAATCTTTCACCAAAGGAACAGAAGGAGTTAAAACAAGTTTTAGAAAGGTATGGAGATCTGTTTTCGTCGAGATTAGGGAGAACCAATTTGGCAAAACATCGGATAGACACAGAAGACGCGAAGCCAATTAAACACAAGCCTTACCGGGTAAGTGCTAAAGAACGAGATATTATAAAAGAACAAATTGACGAGATGCTTACAGAAGGCATAATTAGGCCATCTTCTAGCCCCTGGTCTTTTCCAGTAATATTGGTCAAGAAGCGAGATGGTAAATACAGATTTTGTGTGGACTACAGAAAACTGAATAATGTGACAGTAAAAGATGTCTATCCGATCCCTAGAATAGACGAAGTTATGGATACTCTCCAAGGATCTACATACTTCTCAGCAATAGACCTCAGATCTGGATATTGGCAAGTTGAAGTCGAAGAAAGAGACAAAGAGAAAACAGCTTTCACTACAGCGCATGGATTATATGAATTCAACGTGATGCCTTTTGGACTTTGTAACGCGCCTGCTACCTTTGAGAGAAATATGGAGAATATGCTTGGATATCTAAGATGGCAAATTTGTTTGTGTTATCTGGATGATGTTATCATATATAGCCCGGATTTTCCAACGCACCTCAAAAGACTTGAAGCTGTTTTTAGATGTTTTCGTGAATCTAATTTAAGGTTAAACGACAAAAAATGCCGATTTGCTTTTGAAGAATTGGAGATTCTCGGCTATATAACGAGCAAACATGGTATAAAACCCGCGGAACATAACATCAAAGCTGTCAGAAATTTTCCTCGGCCCAAAAAGGTCAAAGAAGTACAATCATTTTTGGGAATGTGTTCATATTATAGAAAATTTATCAAAGATTTCTCAAAAATTGCTGACCCTTTGACCAACCTTATAAAAAAAGTGTATCATTTACCTGGACAGAAAGACAAGAGGAAGCGTTTCAAACCCTAAAAACAGCACTATTAAGTCCACCAATTTTAGGTCACTTCAATCCAAATGCGCCTACTTATGTTCATACTGATGCGTCCAACATCGGCATAGGTGCAACACTTGTCCAAGACATCGGTGGGGAAGAGAAGGTGATCTCATATTTGAGTCGTACCCTTAGTAAAGCGGAGTAAAATTATACAACAACTGAAAAAGAATGTCTGGCCGTTGTCTGGTCAATGTCAAAATTACGGCCCTACCTTTATGGAAGACACTTTAAAATAGTAACAGACCATCACGCCTTATGCTGGCTCAAAAACTTGAAGGACCCAACAGGTCGATTGGCAAGATGGGCATTAAAAATTCAAGAATATGACTTCGATATAATACATAAATCAGGAAAGAAGCATCTGGACGCCGATGGCTTATCTAGGGGACCCTTACCAGAAAGTGATTGGGATGAGGATTTTGAAAGGCTATTTTTAAATCAAATAACAGACGAAGAGGATAAGTTTATCGAAAGTGTTAAGAAAAACCTTAATGGATGCAGGCGATCAATTGCGCAAAACTTTAAAGTAGAAGATGGATGCCTCTTTAAGAAAAACCCGAACCCTGAAGGCAGGGCGTGGTTGCTTGTGGTTCCAGAGAAGAAAAAGAGAGAAATTATGAAAGAATATCACAATCATATGTCGAATGGCCATCTGGGTGTCGCCAGAACCATGTACCGAATAAAGAGTAAATACTTTTGGCCATCCATGCTAAAGGATGTCTCAGAATTCGTTAAGACGTGTCACCTTTGCCAAAGTAGAAAAGGCTCAAACCAATTACCTTCTGGACTACTACAGCCCATTCCCCCAGCCAACTTTCCTTTCGAAAGAATTGGAATTGACTTTGTTGGTCCATTGCCATCTACGAAAAACAGGAAAAAATGGATAATCGTGCTGACGGACTACTACACTAGATATGCAGAAACAAAAGCAGTCTCGGAAGCAACAGTGAAAGAAGTTTCAAAATTCCTAGTAGAGGATATTTTTCTCCGGCACGGAGCCCTACAATATCTTATTAGTGACAGGGGCTCTCAATTTACCAGTAATTTAATGGAAGAGGTGATGAAAATGTGCAAGATTAAACATTGCTTCACAACGAGCTATCATCCCCAGACTAATGGATTGACAGAACGGTTAAATAGAACATTGATCAATATGCTCAGTATGTATGTGAACACTGATCAGAAGAATTGGGACGAAATACTCCCGTTCATCACTCACGCTTACAATACTACAATTCAGGAAACCACAGGATATTCTCCCTTTTTCCTGATGTTTGGAAGAGAACCCACGTCTCTTTTGGACGACAGGAATATCTCGGTGGACATTGACAAGGATGATTATGATGAATACATAAAACATCACTTAGACAAAATAGACAGAACAAGAAAATTAGTTATTAACAACACAATAAAGACTCAAGAAAGAATGAAAAAGAACTATGACAAGAAACACATGGAAAGAAACTACGAACCAGGAGAATTAGTAGCAGTTTGGACACCAATTAGGAAAATAGGAAAGTGTGAGAAACTTCTGAGAAAATATTTTGGTCCATATAGAATATTAAAAAAGATGTCTAGCGTCAATTATCTAATAGAACCGAAAGATAATCCGGGCCAAGACCCTCTGATAGTTCATGTTTCAAGAATCAAGCCTTATTATGAGAGAATGGATGAGGTCATTCACGAGGACGTGACAACCTCTGGAGAGGGGGAAGTGTTACATCAATTTTAATGCGCCTTACATTTATTCAAAATATTCTATGATATTTAATATTTATTTAAAACAGAATATTTAGATTAGCATCATTCCTTTTTATAGTTCACTCCTTTTTAAATATTTATTGTACATATATCTTTTATGCTGATTGGAGCGGGAGAGGACCTGGACGAAGACGGCGGATCGCAACCTACGAGGAAGACAAGAATAAATAAACACAATAACTTTAAAAGATAATTTATTTTTATTTAATTTTATTTATTTACTTTTAATATGGAAACCCGCTCGGGAAACGTGTATAACACCAAGAAGGAAGAAACCAAGGTCGACGACCCTGCAAAGCTTCAACTTGGTGCAACAATATATCGCCGCAACTCTTTTTTATTATTAACGCGATTAAAAGCTTTCGGGCGAGCCCTTCTTCAGCTATAATTAGCTGAAGAAGGGCTCGCCCGAAAGCTTTTAATCGCGTTAATAATAAAAAAGAGTTGCGGCGATATATGATTCCTTCTTTCTAACATATTGTTAGTAGCGCAGATTATACAACAATAAAAGTCTTTGTTAAGATTTTTGCTCTTATACAGATTCTCCAAGTAGAAGAGGGTATATACAGGAATAACAGTTGCAATATTATCAGCAATGTTATTTATAATGTGTCAAATAAGGGAAGAGAGAAGCAAGAAAGGGCTTGGCATAAACTTATAAGCAAGCAATCGAGAGCAAGAAGTTACTTTTCTTAAAAAACAATAATTAATAGTATTGACGGAAATATAAAACCATGCATTATACACAGCTGGCCACCCAAATTGCAACACAGGCTAGGTCCGCTTCTGCCGCTAAATCCGCTCCCGTGACAAAAGTCACGCCGCCAGCCAGTGTCAGTGACCAAGCCCTCACGACACAGCTACGCGCCGACGCTGCGTAACAGTGCCAAACATGTTAAGTTGGCTTCCGCCGATCTTTCTGTCAAGGAGCTAAGGGCGAAGATTGCTCAGACTCCCAGCTTGAAGAACTTGGATGTTGCCGCTGTGACGGGGGGGGGGGGATAAAAAACTGGTCCTCCACTTTACCAATCCCTCTGAAAAAAAAAAGAGGTTTGTTGACAATGTCAAGACCGGGCTCGCTATCTTTGGAGTTCCATCTGAGAAAACCGAGGAGCAGCTTGCGGCTGATATTAGAAACCATCCTGCTGTCGAAAAGTTACTGAAAAGCGACGCCGATTGCAGGCTGGTTAAACTGATAAGAAAAGAGGGCTCATCCTCCACCGCGATAGTAGAGGTGAATAAGGCTGTTGAGACTGCTCTACTCGAGCGCGGTAGGATCACAATAGACTACCTCTCCCTGAGACTCGCAAGGGCTAAGCGCGTCTTTCCCTGCGGTGTCTGTGGCAGCCTGAGTCACAGGACCCACACCAACGGTAAGAAGTGTACCAGGGCGGCCACTGCACTGGTGCACATCTGCCGAGGCCCGTGACAACAAGGCTATATATAAAACGACACTTGCAAGTTTAACCGCATGAGTTTCTTTTCAACGACAAATTAAAATTTTTTATTTTAAGGTGAAATATCGACAATTTCTAGCCTTTTGGATGAGGTATGAAAGGATGAATTATGAAGAGTAATGACGAACGGAAAAATAAAAGTGCTGATATGTGTTGGAGATGTGTGCGAAAGTTTTTTTGGGGTCATTGCGGAAACAATCGGCAAGGGTAGGGTCAAAAGAGTCAGCATAAGGGGCAAGGATGTGGTAGGCCCAGGTTAGATGTAGGAGGTGTGAGGGGTTGTTGATGGGGAAAAGGTTACATGTGGGTGGAGGTGAGTCGGGGGTGTAGTGTTGTTGTGGTGGTTGGCGTAGGTGGGGTGGCGTGTGAACATATGTAGATGAGGTAGGGTGAAGAGGGGTGGAGGAGCTCACCCCAGGTCGACTGCCGAGGTCCTGATCCCCGCCAATGGTAGGGTCGAGCAGGGAGTTAAACATGCTCGGGTGGTCGTCTTGGCAGGAGGAGTCAGTGCCGGGAGAGGAGGTGGAGGAATCTTGGGAGGGGGGCAGAGAACCCCCTGGAGTTGAAGAGGTGTCAGAGGTGGGGGTGGCCCCCAGGGAGGGCGGTGGGAAGAGGGCGCAGGCCGGGGCGGACCCGCCGCTGGCGGTGGGAGGGCCCGCCGGCAGGTGCGCGGGGCGAGCGGCGAGCCGCCGGATGCGTGGCGGCGGAGCCAGCACGGCGGAGGTTGGAAGCACTCCAGCCAGTGGAGGGAGGTCGAGTGGCGGCGTGCGGCCGCTCAGGAGGTCCAGCGCTCTGATTGGACGCCTGCAGGAAAAAAATCAGGGCGACGGACGGCAGCAGGCGGCCGCCCGGGAGGACCGAGGAATTAAAAAAATGAACAAACGTTCGGCAACTGAATTTGGCCAAAAAATCCAAGGGGCAGGACAGGGTGGAGGTGGTCCCACGGCAGGGGAACCCGCGGGGAGAAGAAGGCAGCGGACCCCGCGGAGGCAGGAGCGCAGAGGGAGGAACCGCGCGGTCGGAGTCCGCGGCGACTATCCGACTTAGCTGGCTGGCTTTCGCTTCCGGGCTAAATGTTCAAATGGGCATGGACTTCTAACCCCAACTTCTTGGCTCATCATGGCTGCAGACGCGATGTCAGGTGGCAAGGGATCCTAGGATCTGGCGGCAGGCGATGTCTCGCAGGGATGGTGGAATCGTTGGGAAAGCATGGGGAGCAGCGCCAGGGAGCAGTGAGGCAGGAGTCTTGCATAGGCCAGAATCCAGTAGAAGGTGGCAGGTGGAGTTGGAGGCAGAAGGTACTTGAAGCCTAAAACGTGAGGACCTTAGACTTCAGGATGGGGCAGCTTGAGGCTCTCGCCTCGTGCTTGTCAGGAAGGCCCTTTGGGCAGCAGTTGGCACATTTGAGGGTGCGCTGGTCAGCAATGGATGGGCAGGCGCGGCCTTCGTGGCCGTCTTCACCGCAGTGGAAACACTTAGCAGACGCGGGCGCGAATGGACTCCTCGAAGTTAAGGATAATGCCATCAACCACGATTCTTCCGCGAACGCCCAGGGCTCCAAAGGTCTTGAGGTCCACCTCGATGAAGGCGGTGCAGGTCCCGTTTCTTGGCGCAGAACGGTGCGCCGCGCGCACCACTTTTTCTCCAGGGAGTTTGCTGACAGCAGCGGTTTGCAGGAAGGTCTCCTCGATTGTGGAATTGGAGGTCTCCTCATCCACTCTGAAGAGGCAGATTCTTGGCAGGATCTTCTTCTGCTGGCGGACCTTCATTCCCGTTAGCTTGCTGGCCAGGGAGGTTGTCACCTCAGGGATGATGTCGGGATTGCTGGAGTGGAGGACCAGCTTCCCCTTGGTTCGCAGAGAGGCCCAAACGCCTTGGGGTAGAGTGTGGGCAGCACGGACAGCCTTGTAAATCTCCCTTGGGTCAGCCTGTGGGTCATCAGAGACGACCACTGTGTGGGCCGCCGATTTTTCCCCATGGAGGACCACTTGGGCGGCCGCAGGCTTGGGGACGCGGGAAGGCGCAGGTTTTGTGGGACCTTTCAAGTTGGATCTTTTGGCAGGGGGGTTGGGAGCCTCAGGCTGCTTCCTCTTGGTTACAGCAGGAGTGGCGGGCTTGGTGGGGTCAGTCTGGGAGCTGGTTTCCTTTAAGCAGGGAGCAGGGCTGGTTTGGGTGCTGTGGCAGTCAGTCTGGGGCTTGTTGGCACCTTCGTCCTGCTCCTTAAAGGACGCGAGGATGCCAGAGAGGCTCTCCACCTCAGCAAGGAAGGCTTTGATCTGTTCAGACCGCAGCTCGATGAAATTTATCGAGCCCTGATACAGGGGGAACAGGGTGTTGGGGCCAGAGGACTGCAAGGCATCGCGGTAGTGTTGCCTCGCCTCCTCGTTCTCCTTTTCCAGTTGAGCGAGGGTCACAAGGGGCTTCTCGGCGTTCTTCTTCTTCTTCCTAGAGGGAACCATGGCAGGAGCAAGAGAGCAGAGATGTGCACAGGTAGAGAGCTAGCTGGCTCGATCTGAGAATCCGACTTAGCAGCAAATTGTGCTGTTTTATAATGCACCCCAAGTCTAAACCTGGGTAGGTGAGAGCCAATCAAAATGGAGAGTTGATGGCGACCGCTTTTGAACGAATTGCTGACATTGGGCACACTTTTATCTTTCTTTTTGAAAATTATTTTCAATTTTTTTTTTTACCCTGTGTATTTTGGCTTTTAATGTGTGAAAACAATATAACCACAAGCTGCTCTTCAGTTTTCTCAGAAGGAATCCCGAATATAGCAAGCCTCGGCTTGAATGTAGGATTCGTCTGGACTTTAAGTCTACCAATGTTGGCGGACTTAACATTGTCCACGAACCTCTTTTTTTCAGAGGAGTTGGCTAAGTGGAGGACAAGTTTCTTGTCCCCCCCCCCAGTCACAGCGGCCACATCAACATTCTTTAAACAGGGAGTTTGGGTGATTTTTTTGCCCTGATTTCACTAACAGACAGCTCCGCGTGATTAATGCTGTTACGCAGCATATGCACGTAACTTGGTCGTGTAGGTTTGGTTGGCTTAACACCAACATTGGGTGATGGTGCAGGTTTGGCATTTTTAGCAGAGGCTGCGTATTGCGCCCTAATCTCAGCAATTTTAAGATCGCAACCCTTCAATTTCTGTTTGAAAACGTCCACAACGGTGGTCTGTAGTTGGCAAAGTAGCATGTCCATTTTGCCGTATGATTTTTTAATAGCTGAAGAACCCAGTTCCCCACCTAGACCTACACCAATTTCATATTGTAGGATCTGCCTAAAGCTTCGGGTTTCGGGACAGGAGAGGGTGGTGTTGTCAATTAGAAGATGGGGAGGTTTGCAGAAAATGGGTAGAACCAGGGAACTCCAGGGAGGAGACGGCATTGACATCTCCAGCGAACAGAAGGCGAGGAGGAGGTGGGGAGCCGAAGAGAGTGAGGAAGGAGTCTACTATGGGGGAATAAGAAGCTTTGTGTGGGAAGTAAACAGAGCAGATAGTGAGATGGAAGCCTGGGATGTCGAGAATGGCGAGGGTACGATTGGTGGTAGAAAGGCGAGGGAGGAAGACCACAGGCAGGCTCTGGTTAAGAACCACGATGTAGGTGCTGCACTTGTTCTGTGTGATGGGAGCGTGAAGGAAAGAGGCGGAGGGGATTGGGAAGGGAGAGGCGAGAAGGCCTTTACGGACCGGCAGTTCTTGAAGCAGGAGGATATCTATGTGAGAGGACTGCGCGGTTTCGAGAATAGAGAGGAAGCAGGGGAGGGAACGGTTGCAATTTAGCTGCAGGAACCTAATCATGGGATTCCATGCGTTGTGAGGAAGGCAGACTCTGCCGCCTTAATGATCGGGCAGGCAAGGGAATCCGCCCGGTGTTGGTTGTTGCTGCTGCACCGGAAGCATCTAGGGGGAGAGGAGATTGCTGCTCCTCCACTTCTTGATATTTGCCTATTTCTGATTTCGTGTGTATCGACACCTTGCACTTTTGGCAGTTGACACAAGCTTGAGCCCATTTCCTAATGTCTTTATTCATATTGGGCCATATGAATCTTGACGTTAATTGTTTAGTAGTGGCTTTAATGCCTGGGTGTGAGAGTTCATGGAAGTTCCTAAAAACCATCATTCGGAATTTAATTGGAATGAATGGTCTAATATTATTAGTAGACACGTCACACCATAACAATTTGCCTGATTGTAGTGGGCATTGCTTAAATTTTAGAGAAGTGTTCTTTGATATCAGGTTTTGTAGTTCTGAATCACCAGTTTGTTCTTTGGCGATCTCTTCATAGTCGATGGTTGTGATAGCATCAACTCTGGACAGAGCATCGGCGACTATGTTGTCAGTACCTTTTATGTACTTGATGTCAGTAGAGAAATGGGAGATGTATTGTAGATGTCTTAATTGTCTAGGAGAAGCTTTCTCATTTTTTTGTTTGAATGCGTAAATTAAAGATTTGTGATCAGTCAAAATTGTAAATTCACGTGCCTCAAGCAGGTGCTTGAAGAATTTGATGGACAAATATATTGCGAGAAGCTCTCTATCATATGTACTATAATTGCATTGAGCAGGATTTAATTTTTTAGAGAAAAATGCTATTGGTTTCCAATTATTATTGTCAAGCTGTTGGAGAACTGATCCAACTGCCCGATCTGAAGCATCTGTACAGAGTGAGATAGGCAGTTCAGTATCGGGGTAGGCTAACAGTGCTGTATTAGCTAGGGCTTGTTTGCATTTTTCAAACTGAACTTCAGCTTCTTCAGTCCATTTTATTTCGCTTCTATCCTTTTTCTTGGCTCCCCTCAAGTATTCATGAAGGATTGCCTGAGTCTCTGCGGCATTGTTCAAAAAGGTACGATAAAAGTTTAGCATTCCCAAAAATATGCGTAATTCATGAACTGTTTTTTATTCTTATATTCTAGAATAGCTTTAACCTTTGTTGGGAGTGGTTTCACACCGTGAGAGGTAATTAGGTATCCTAGAAAATCAATTTCCTGTACTAGGAATTTAGATTTAGGAAGATTGATTCTCAATCCATAGGAATTTAGTCTGCTGAATAAGGTTTCAAGGTGGCTATAATGCTCTTCCTCTGTTTTAGAGGCTACCAGAATATCATCTAAGTAGACAAATGCAAAGTCCAAGTTTCTTAATACTTCATGCATGAATCTCTGAAAGGTAGCAGTAGCATTTCTAAGACCGAAACTCATTACATTAAATTCGAATAGCCCAAAAGGAGTAATGATGGCAGTCTTTGGTTTATCCTCTTCAGCAATTGGAATCTGATAGAATGCCTTGCATAGGTCTATTTTTGAGTACACACGAGTACCTTTTAAGATGTGGTGGAAATCGTCCAGTCTAGGGATTGGATAACGATCTGGAAGTGTAACTGCATTGAGTCTTCTATAATCACCACAAGGTCTTAGTGACTCGTCCTTTTTTGAAACTAAATGTAGTGGACTCGCCCAAGGAGAATTTGAGGGTCTAATTATTCCATTATTCAACATATATTGAAATTCTGCCTTAGCAAGAATTAATCTCTGTGAATCTAGACGACGGGCTTTTGAGTGAATTGGCTGACCTCTGGTAGGAATATAATGCTTAACGCTATGTTTTGCTTATACAAAATCTGATGGTGGCCTACATAGGTTAGGATATTTGGTTAGGATAGCGCTGACCTTGGATGATGAGTTTAGAGTGCTAATATTTCCCATGTGTGAGATTGACTGAATGACGCCTCTTATGGAAAGATTAGTTATCCCATCAATTAGGCGTTTATTTTTTATATCAATTACCAATCCAAAGTTGTTCAGAAAGTCTGCTCCTATTATAGCTCTGTTAGTATTGGCGATTACAAAAGGCCATTGGAATTGACGTCGAAGTCCGATATCCAAATTTCTAACCTTTGTTCCATAGGTAACAATTTCTGTACCATTGGCTGCATATAATTTATAATCAGAGCTAGGCATCCTATTTTTATCCTTTGGAGGTATTATAGAAATATCAGCGCCACTGTCCACCAAAAAGCGCAATCCCGTGTTTTTGTCCGTCACAAATAATCGGAGATTGTGACAATCCTGAATGCCGCAGAAGAGCTTGTCGCTACTCTGTCCGCCGGTTGGAGTTTTCCGACTCTTTCCAACTGCACGGAGACCTGCATTTATTTTGTAAGCAATTAGGACCAAATCTAAAATGGTAATAGCAGTATTTCCCTTTTGGATCGAAAGATCTTTGAGAATTACTTCTCGGTCTTGACTGAGTCCTATTTTTGGATCGAGATCTAGATCTATCCAGTCTCAATTCGGACACCTGCCGTTCAAGATCTTCCAATTTGGCGATCAAGCGATCTGTTGATGAAGAAGGCACTTCCGCATCATATATTTCTTTGGAAGAGTTTATTTCATTTATTTTATCGGCCATTATGGCCAATTTGCCAATGTCCTCTTCGCTTACAATAAGTATATTCTTTATGGATGTGGGCAGTTTATCGAGCCATAAAGTTTTTATTAAATTGTCAGAGATATCTGGGGTAGCGAGGGATCTGAGCTTTTGTAATAACTGGCTCGGCTTCATGTCTCCGAGCTCAATACCTGAAATTAACTTTTTAATTCTCAACCCTTCACTTTCTCTGAACAATTCAAGTAGTCGTGATTTACATTCAGAGTACTTGTTGTCGCCTTTGCTATTAATTATGTCCCAAATGTTTTCTATATATTTAGGTTCTAATTGGGAGATCAAATAATTAAATTTAGTGTCTTCCTGAATAATTCCACCTATTTTGAACTGTGCTTCTACCTGGAAGAACCATATTTCAGGTTTTTCAACCCAGAAAGGCGGTATTTTAACACTAACTTTGCATATTTCTGAGGTATCGCTAGGCTTATTTTCTGTTTCCATTTTACGTAAATTTAAATTCGACACAACAGCTTAGAGATAAAGTTAAAAATAAAAATATTGAGATAAAATAATAAGGAAGATAATATAAAAACTTATCTTAGTCTTGAGATGATATCCCGATATCCTGGATGATGCTTCTTTTCAAGCTTGAATCACTTTTTGCATTTCTTTATCTCTTGAAATCTTCGTATGCTTTTTCTTTTCAATCACGTCGGCTCACCAAATGTGGTGTGTCGATTTATGGTCCAGCGATGGCTCAGAAAGTCTCTCAAAGTTAGTGTTTTATTGGCGTTTTTTGTTGGCTACATTTATATGGGAAGACCTAAAAGCACAACACCCTGGAATGCACATGGTCCTCTCTGGGTTCCCCCGCTGTGCCTTCCTGGCGCAACGGTCGTCCTGGTGATTTATGGCGCCGCCTGTTTATATTTCTTGACGGCGGGTGCGGCATTCAGCAGGTCCCCACAGTTGAAAGTGGTACTCACCCATTTTTGTCTGTGTCTCTTGCTTGACCATAGCGATGTTTTCTTCAGGTTCTAGTCCTTGTAGTCTTCGGCTTCTTCTAACGGCTTGGGCGTCGAGGGAATATTCCAGCTTCTCCACCAGTTGTCATGGTAGTGATAACGAGTATAACAAAAGTTTAAGTAAAAATAATTCATTTATAAAAATGCAAACTATTTCTAAAAATGTATTTATAAGTAATAATATACAAGAATGGTAAGGGGTGATGACTATGCAAATATTAATGATGATATACCACAGAATATTTAAAATAATTATTCAGTGACTGTAAAATCTTTGTTTACGTAATATAATTAGCAAACGTATTATAAGATTTATTTATTGGGGTATTAGATATATTTATTTACTTACAGGATTGTTGTTAGTATTAGATAGCGTTAATTCTTTCATTTACATTCTATATCGAACTCAACTGTGTTGCCGAGTATGATATTAACTATATTACATCTCTCCTTTTTTATAAATCCATTCTTTTTGGTGGCTTCACCTGGCGACCGCTTCTTGTGAACTTCCGCACCTCTCTGGTCTCCTCCTCTCCAGCTGGATTATCAGTTTCCGACTGCAGCTCCATCCTGTCAGAACCTTTAGGCTGAGTTTCTTGATCTTGCTCCATAGTTGAACAAGCACTTCCACTGGGTTCTTGCTCAAGGATGCTTTCATGGTCTCTTTGGGATTGGTTAGTTGTAATATGTGATTGGTTTCTTCTGTAGAGTCCTTTGTTGTTCTGGACTGTATAGGACCTTGGACCATCTTCTCGAACTATTGTGGCTGGTTTCCAGTTTCTTCTGTTTTCTCTTAGATAAACTTCTTGTCCGATCTTGAAAGTTGGTTCGTCTCTTGATCCTTTGTCATAGTAGAATTTCTGCTTGTTTCTGGATCTTCTTAGCAGGATCTTGTTTAAATCTGATGGATCAATGCAAATTCTATATTTCCCGCCTTGTTTCACTACCACCATGTGGCTTGAGACAGGTGTCGGTTCTTCCATTCTTTTTATCACCTTACTTTTCTCCATTAAGTCTAGTTGTTTCTTGACATCATCTTTTATTTTAAGGGGTATTAGATATATTTATTTACTTACAGGATTGTTGTTAGTATTAGATAGCGTTAATTCTTTTATTTACATTCTATATCGATCTCAACTGTGTTGCCGAGTACGATATTAACTATATTACAGTAACAATATTAAGGATTTGTTATCTTGGTTTCTGATGTTCTTTAACTCTTGTGTCTGCTGGTATGCAAGGGTTGGCTGGAGTATTCTGCTTGTTTTTCCAATCTGTGTTATTATTGGTTATGGGGGCTTTCTTTGGCCTATGGTTCTGGAATTTCTAAATAAGCATTTTATTACATATTTTCTCATTTCATGGTTTAATCTTTCATTAACATGGGAATATTGTAAATAACTATGTGTGCGGTGTGTTTGTTTTATAGGGAGGGATTGATGGAATAAATTTTTATATATAAAATCTATTAGAAATCCATTATTTCGCAGATTTTGGCTGATATATTT